TGCTGGCTGGAAGTTAAGCAATCCGCGATTTCCGGCCGCAGTCCTCGTAGCTATCCAGAGGGCATTTCTTCCCTGGTAAACCCTTGCGTCTCTCTCTCTCTCTCTCTCTCTCTTGTGCTGACTCCGGCGTAGTCGCTCAGGGATATTGGTACCATTGAAGGGCATCTGCTGGATTACCTGGGGCACGCTTGCACCTATGGTACCATGTACATGTACGATCTGAAGCCGAACCGAAAACAGGCGGCGCGGGGGCTCAACCTGATTCATTCTGGTGTGATGTAATGTCAGCGCTGCTGCTTTATATTATCTCCTGCGAGGTGGCCTTTCCCCTGTCATTCTCATTCCTGTGCTCTGTACCGGAACCGGTTTCATACCAGTCATTTTAGCTAGTCTCCGGCAGCATTTGGTTCAAAATCGAGGCTCAACAGCCTCTCCCACGCACCGTTCACGTACTGAGAGCTGGATGGGTTGTCCGATGAACAAACCGGTGGGCAATCTACTTGTTTCTTGCTTGGAGTGTACTCTAAAACTGATGTCACGAAGACAAGGCATGGCTAGGCAGACTTTGTGTTATCTAAGGTTTGAAGTCAGGTTTTATGCGTCGCACCAAGTTGCTTGAAACGAAAGGATCCTCCATGTGCGTTGGCTGGTTAGTCAATCCATCTGCAATCTAAAAGGATCCCCAGCCAGTTGTTTCTGCGTTTTTTGATTCAGCGATGTGTGTTCATTGCTTGGTTTGCATTGCTCCACCCATGGTGATTCAATTCCGTTCCCTTCCGGGCTGGATGTTTTTATCATGGTCTCCTCCTCCAGCCAAATATATTTCCCCCGGAAGGGAAGCATTGCGTGCGGTGAACTTGCCCACCAAACCAACGTAGCGATGGTCCCCTGTTTCGGGGAAGGCAAGTCCTGAAAGCAGCCAAGCTGAGAGCCCCACCGGACGAAGAAGCCACCTGGCTGCCGTGATGTTCAGCCATCGTGGGAACAACACTCCTCGAAGCAGATTACTACTAGAAGGCATTGCAAGGAGTACCGTTTATTGCTGGGACTGAGCACAACAAGACAGGATGCCGGTACATCGCCATAGATCTAGCTCGCTACCTGCCAGCCAGCGCTATTATCATACCGTACAAGCCAGCTACAAGCCAGGACAAGAAAAGAGTCTACTACGAAGAGAACACATGCAGAGAGAACAGTTCACCAAGCGAACCCCTTCATTGCTGAACACGTGGGAAGTTGGCATCCTGGAACATGATGAGAAGAGTCCTGATCCAAGAGTATAAGAGAGCTCCAAGAGTATCCAAGTATCCAAGTGCACAAGTGCACCACGAACCACTCTATGAATTCGCAACTGAATTCAATCCGGATCTGGCTAGTAGTCTGACAATGGATTATTGTTGTATCAAACTATGGTTTGGTACTACCTACCTGGTACTTGCTGCAGCTAGCTAGTACATGGTGGTACCAGCTGCATGCACCTCGCCAACAAACATCCTACAAGTAATTTCGCAAGAATGCTCGTGGCCTACGGTTGCTAGTAAGCTCTAGCTGGTAGCTAGTATCAGTAGAGTTAGGCAAGTGTTGGTTGTGGCGACATAGGGCTCAGTCCGAGCACGAGCGCCACCGAAGTCCTGTCAAGAGGGGATGCAACGTGTACATAATAGTTTTGTTTGCAAAAAAAAGAGCCTGGCTCACCCGTGCATCTTTCCGGTGAGAACACCTTGAGCATTTGGTCTTCGGCTCTCGGCTTTCAGAATCCAAGACAGAAGACAGGTGAAGAGAGGAGAGCATGAGAGATGAGAGCATGCACAGGAGTTTTTCAAACATTCATACATTTTTTCTATTCAAGAAACCAACTCAGTAGATGCTTTTGGTTGCTATCTACGCGGAGGTGACCCTCTGGTACGGTACTGTACCGGTAGGCAAAGCATTGAAGCATTGAGCAATGAGCAAGCAACCGATCACCTACCATCATAGAACGGTTCGGTGACGACTCGACTCGACTTGACTCGTGTCTCTCAAAGCGAAACGCAAAGTACAAAAGTCTTAGTGGCCACCTGGACACCTACGTACTACCGGTACTGGTACTGGTACGACTGTACCATAGTAGCTAGCCTGGATATCGTCCACCAGCTCGCTCTACTGCCTATTAGTACCAGTAGTCTACTCTACGTAAAGGCAGAGCTGGGGTACCGCTTGCCGCAGGCGAAGTGGACTCATTGTGGGATCGGCTTACTTTGCAGTTGCAAGGGACGGCAAGTTCCAGAAGTGTCGAATGCAAAGAACATGTCGGACGCCCCAAGTAAATGGTTACTCAGAGTACTTACTATCTAAGAGGAGTACTCGGAATAGATGGTTCTATGATTTGTCCTAGGGCCTCATGATTTAAACCTGAATTTGTAGGGTGATCAAGAGACATAGAGATTCCAAGTAGAAAGGTTGAAGTGAGATGGCAAAATAGATACCGTAGTACTGAGGTGCGTTCCTAACCAAACTCCATGTGTGTCCTCCGTGCATACGCGAAACACATTTATTTTCATCGATTTATTTAGGCTTACGTATCAAGATTTCATTCCTATCCATGTGACACACATACGCGGTACGCGAAAGAACATGAACCAAATGATTTGATTTGATTCATCAATTCGAATCAATTCGATTCATTAATTGGAATCGAATCGAATCATCGAATCCAATCCGTTCGATCGAAGCTACCGACGGACCCATCTCGACAACCAAGAAGGCTAACAAGCATTCAATGGTAGTAGCTTGTAGGGTTCCCTCAGCTTGATTGTTAACGGCTTGTTTTGGCTTGTTAACCTTCTTGGTTGTCCAGATAGACCCAGTAGTAGTACCGGTACCGGTGCATCGCTTCATTCCATCGTACATGCAACGCCGTTGTACGGCTGTAATGGTTAAACTAGTTCATTAGAGTTGGAGATTTGTGGCCGTGACTGAGTTCGGCTTACTCGAGCGTTTTGATTGGTCCTACGCGAACTCTTTTTCCCCATTAATTTCGGTACCGGCGAATTGAGAATGCAAAATTGCAGATACGGCGTACCGAAATTAATGGGCAAAAAGAGGGAAAGCCAGCCAACTTTAACAGTTATCTTGATTTCGCGTATGCACGGAAGAATAAAGAGGTCAAAATGGCTGGTTAGGAACGATCCTGAGTACCTGGTACCTGGTACTCCGAGTACGAGTACACATTAGTCGCATTGCCCCCTCCTGAGTACGAGTACCATTATGCTGAATGATGGTCAAGCAAGGTGCAAGGCACTCCATGGTCCAAGGTTCACTTGTACCAGCGTACCAGCGTATGATCGACTGCAGCTTCGCTCGCAATCAATCATCTCTAACGCCGATTGCAGCTGGATTGATCGACCATCATCTACAGTATGTCCTTTAAACAAACACTAAGGCTGTTATGTTGTTCAATAGCAAGAAACCCTTCATCCAGCTTCATCTTACAGGATCTCCTTGGACAGGCTTGGACTCCTTGATCCGAAGTTATCTAAGGAACAGACTAGTTAACTGGTCTTGTCAAAGACTTTCTTCCAAAGACACAACGAGGTGTGTAATGGCTCAAAGAAGCCGTCAAAGCGTCAAAGACAAAAAATAGATTTAGATACCACATGTAGTACATTTGGCTTTGCAGCCTAAGAATCTAGCTACCTGTTCTTCCTAATTTTTGGGCTTCCTTAGTTCCAAAGCAAAGCTAAGCAACCACTCTTGTCTTCGCAGCTGATGTAAATAGAAGCAGCAACATCGTCGGAGGGCTGATCATGAACCTTCAACGAGAAAGAGCCCTTTAAATACATTGGTAGCAGTTTGACTTGCCAGAGAACTTGTCCGCGTTGATTGCCACAGATATGTCCCAATCGACTTACGATGGCTTCTGGATCGCTTCTTATCCATTGTCCAGAGGACGCAAATCTCAGGTGCTTTTTATACCAAGTCCAAGGTGATATGAAAGGGTCTTGGCTTCTTATATATAAATGAACTAGTAATGTGAAAGTGACGATCAAGATGAAGCAATAGCATTTGGAGCCATTCTGGACTGCCACCCTTCCAGTTTCCAGTTCAATCCTCGCCGTGAACCTATAGACGGGTTCCGGGGACTCTAAATAGATGATGTTCCTGATTAAGTACTTTAAAAGTGGCTGCCAGGTCACCTTCCCAACTATACACCTAAAAAAGCAATCACCACGACACCAAAGAATACGCCTATTTCGTTATCTCGTCACTCAAACCTCTAATTCGTTGAGTGTATCGCATCTGACTACGACTGTACCAGTACCTGCCCGAACTTTCTGGTCCTGTCGCTATCTGCTGGATCTGGTCCGCTGTATCTGCTATCTGTTTGGATCGTCCCGTGTCTTGTGCGTTTCTCTTTTTGATGGGGTCTCTTTTTTCACTTCGCATCGTTCAGAGCCCATAATTCAGAGTGGCCCAGACTCCCAGGCTCTTCACTTCCAAAAGTTCACACAGCTCCCTCGCGGTAAGAAGGCACTATTATTCACCAGACACCAGACAGACCTTCAGAATACAAAATACCCCTTCACCATGGCCACTACCCTGTCCTGCCCCAAGAAAGCCAAGGCTGCAGCCAACAAGCAAAAGAAGAAGGAGTTCCGCTGCTACCTTTCTGACAACTACCAACCTCATGAGCAAGATGTCCTGATTGGGCGCGGTCGCCTAGTCGAGAACCACAAGGGGAACCACCGTTTCAAGGCTCTCATTCAAGCGCATCTGGTTGCCTACTATAATGCCCAAACCAAAGCAACCAAGACAACCATCATTCTTCGAATCTTTCAAGATATCAAGCGCACCGCTCAAGCCGATGGAGGTGCTGGTTTCATCAAGCGAGAATCCAGCAGCAAGCGTTGGTTCGTCATTGAAGACAGCGCGGCCAGAATCTCGATTGCTCAGGTAAGGCCCAGAAAGATATATGACTCTCAGTCAGAACCCTATCATATGACTTGAATCCTCACTCACTTTTTCTGTCTCGTCTTTCCATTCCAGGCGTTCCGTGATGCCTTGGCTTCGGAATACAAGTCCAGCAAGCAATACAAGCAGCAGAAGCGGAAGGAACAAGGCCGTGTCTGCCTTCAAGCCCAAGCCAACATGATCATGTGCAGCTTGGGTGGAAACGCGAACGCACCACAAGGACTCGAAGCAGGTACTCTGGCTGAGTTCTACTTGTCCAACCTGGACGGTAGTGCCCCCTTTGGCAATGGAATGACCCTTGGTAATGCTGGCGGCAGCATCCTGGATTCCCTCAAGGCTCAAGAAGAAGAGCCCAAGTTCAACGCCATGCTCCCACCACCACCACCTCCTTTGGTTCCCATGGTCTCCTCTGATGGCAGGGACCTCAGTCACCGTCTTCGCGGAATCTTGAACACCGTCTCCAATGTTGTCGCGGATGATGAAGGAGAACATGATCTTTTGTCCTCAACAGCGACTGCAGGTCCAATGACCTTTCCTCAAGCCAATGGTCCAATGACCTTTCCTCAAGGCAATGGTGACAGTGGTCTCTTGTCCTCCCTCTACTCCGCCATTGGTGGTTCCAACATGGACATGACCATTGATCCCTTTGAGCCTACTCCTCTTGCTGTTGAACCCAAGAAGCTACAGCAAGGAGGATCATTTTCAAAGGACCTGGATTGGGGTGGCACAATGCTGACGGGAGGCATGTCGGAGGCATCATTGGTTGTCAACATGATCAAGGTTCCCAGCTCTTCCCATTCTCATCAAGAAGAACAGCCAAAGAAGGAACAGCCACAGAGTCCACAACTTCCATCATCTTCTTCTTCGGATGACTTTCAAATCTTTGATTCTACTCCACTTTCCGACATTCGCGCGGCACTAAGTGCATAGGGTGGCTGCTTCTTCCTTCCGGCGGTCTCGTACTGCAGTTCCAGCCCAGCTAGCTAGCTTGACATGGCCAAATGTCGCAGCAAGACGGGGCAATCTCTTTTGGGCGTAGAGTTTGAATGTGCAAATAGTAATAGATGAATACATAATGTTAGTCAAGAAAGTCTTCCAAGACAAACAGTCCTCTTGCTCAGTAGTAGTTCGAAAGCTCGCTAGCTTGAACGTACCAAGCCATGGCAATGATCTTGTCTGGGGACATCATGAGCGTATGTAGTCACAGCAGCGCTGACCATCGGATCCGCTCGACGCCATGGTGTCATGACAATCCACTCATTCAGATCCTTCAACAGCGAAGTCTCTGTGGCGCGCGCATGCAGTTACCCAATGCTTAGCGCATCCATGTTCCCAACAAAACAGCTGTGACTGGCTCCGACCATAGCGAAATGAATGCTTAGAGCTTTTAGAGCACACAGAGAACACTGTGTACTATGAGCCAAAGTGGGGCAGCATGAGCGTGTAGTAGCAGCAAGCAGCGCTGGCCATGAGAGGGGGAGCCAATCCCGAGCAGAAAGAATTGTAGCCATACCGAGGACTGCACCTTGCGGTTTGTCGGGTGGAACCTGAACTTTCGATCAAGGAGCTCTTGAGAGGCAAGTTGAACGCCAGGATAATTATTGCAATCATAAGCGCGATTACGAAAGGACAACCATTCCAAAGAGAAGGGCGTCAACATCTGTGCCCGCGGTGGCGAGGGAAAATGAACGTTGTTGGGCACGGGAAGCAAACTGTGGTCACGGGTTGTTCCTCACAAGCATCCGCGCTCCTCGCCAACGCTTAAACAGCAAAGCTGGTGGTTGGTACTCACCAGGTAGCAATTAGCTACCTTTGAGAGACCACAGCCATCAAACCCACGCGACCCTCAGTTTGGGTCACTTTGGTCTGTTGCTGCGAGCGGACAGTGTTTGCCTTGTCGTCATGGGAAGATCGAACCATGGCAGAGGCAAAAGTAGGACCTCCGCGAGGTTGGAACGATCGATCATGAGGAGCACAAAAAATTAAGTTCGAGCGTAGAGGCAGTCGAAGTCGAGCAAACGGACATGACTCTCGCTGCCCGCTGGATCCCAAGGCTGTCTTCGATAGAATCACTCCCCTGGGGTGAGTCGCCTTGTCCAACGGCCTTCGAGGTTGCAATAAGATCGAACGAAACGACCTGCAACTCGGAAACGCCAGTGGCCAGCCACCCTTCGTCGCTTTGAGCAACCCAGCCCAAGGACTTGATGGGCAGAGCGAGCGAAGCCACAACAAAGCCACAATGCCCGAGGCATGCCGCCAGCATCCTCGCGACGACCACTGCGGTCCACTATCGGTACTACATGTAGTAGGGGTCGTTGAGAAAGTCGGAGATGCTCGACGGCATGTGGCCGGCAGACCGCCATTGTCTCTCCTTCTTCGACCGGATTTTCGGCGGAAGGAAAAACAACAATGACTTTTGGCCTTTCGGGTTTCGACGTCTTCCAATTGTGAGAGATTTGAAATTGCTCCTTCCCCGGTCCAAAAGGATCCACCCGTATTTCCGGGATAAGATTCATTCGAATTCCTTCAATCACACTTACGCTGTTCTTGCAAGTCACCTTCGACGGTCCGCGGGATCCCCGCTCTCGATCGTCGGTGCTACCTTACAGCTAGTACCGGTAGCCTCTCGTCGTTGGCTTTCAGGTTCATTGAATTGTTCTGCGCGCACCACTACCAGATACCGGTACAGTACGGTTGGCTGTACCTTGGCTTCATTCTTGAAACGTATGGCACCTGTAGCAAGGCAAGGCAAGGCCTGGCAAGGAGCTCATCAGAAACTAGGATATCCTTCGGACTCGATGTTGATACCGTACGGTTATCACGTACGACTATGAAAAAGGATTGAAGACAGCTATGCCGTTACTTGGCCATTTTAGCTGTAGAGCAGACGACTTTTGCTTCCAAACTGGAACGACGAAACTTCCGACCCGGAGCGACCAAGCGAGACAGCCCCTCTGAGTCAAAACGGTACGCGTACGGAATCCCCATTCAAGATTTTGATTCCTCGTTGTAGGCGTCAAAACTAGCACATATCTTGCAACTTAGCATAATGGTTTTTGCATCCACCAAGAGTTCCACTTTGGTTCTCGATAGGTCAAATGCAAGGGCAGTCCATGCTTATTGGCGAACTCCATGACAGCTCCCTTGACGGCCTCGGGATGGATGGATCCATCTGAGCAAATGGACCAGTCTTGGGGACGAACTTCGTCATTATGCATAAAGTCGTGTCCGGCGAGGATCCCTCCTGGCTTGATTAAGGGCCAGTAGTTTTCAATATCTTCCTTGCAACCGCAGTAATCATGCCGGGCGTCGACATAGACAAAATCCACCTGCATTTCCTGTTTTGCCGTGTACTTGGCTGCATCAACTGACATCATTCGATAGTACTCCGTCTTGTGTTTCCATGGTGAGAGCCTGTTTTGGGTTTCTTGGTAAAAGTTTTCATGTTGCTGATTATTGACATTGGCAACGTCCTTGTAGGTTTCCAAGTTTTGTTGGGCCCATAGATCCACGAGTTTGTAGTTTTGACAAGCGGTCCAAGTCCCCAAGTTATGAGCGGCAAAGTTTCCTCGTTGGACGCCAATCTCAATCCCGTGGGTAAAGTTCATTTCCTGCAAAAACAAGGCAATTTCATTGCGACCCTTGATCGGAGGAAGCGGTTTGAGTGGTGGGCAAGAAGCTGCCGCATCGCTGGTTACCGCAGTGGTGATGGAGGTCCTGCGGGCAACCAAGTACGTGAGATCGTACCCGCCGCCGCCCTGGTTTACAACGTAGCAGACTCCCATAACCACGATGAGAGCCACATGTCCCAGACTTAGTCGCCTCGTTGACTCTGAATTCTTAATGCTGAACGAAAGCGGTTTCCTTGGCATCTTTCTTTTTCTTCGTAAATGCATTTCTTAGCTACTAGCTAGCTAGAAAATGATCGTTCAAGGTCTGGTCGAGGCTGCGATTTTTGAGTTGGAGCCCGAAAAAATGACGAAAGGAGGTGCGCGATGTTGCCACCTGCCCCAGGAGGAAGAACTATTTTCCAGCTCAGTTGTTTTATTTAAAACAGGAACCACTCGGCTCTTTGCGGGTCTTTGCAGGTTTGCAGGGTCTTCGATGAGGTTGTCTGTGTGGACTCCGTTCACGTTACTTCTGCCAACTCTTCAGCTGAATATCAAGCTTCGCACTCATTCCATTCTATCTCCAAAGATGCCTTACTTGACGTTGTCAAGTGCTGATGACAAAAGAGGAAACCGTGGCTCGCATTTACTTCATTACGTCAAAAGATCCAATCGCCTGTTTAGGACATGCATACCAATCGTATTTGGCAGCTTTTGGAGTCGAGATGACGATGACAAGCACTTTTTGTACATAGTGAAGGAGGGATATGGTGGAAGACCGAGGGTACCGGTGCCATTGCAAATGGTTCGAAGTCAGGAAGTTTCTCGTGGAAGCCTTGCTAGCGAGTCGAGGACAAGAAGACAAAGCAAAATGACATGACCAAGACAGCTACACTGCAGCAATCCAGTCTTCAGCTAAGCTAATAACCAACTGTAGAAGTAGCAAACTAGCTAGCTAGTCTAAACTTGCACAAGGCTGATGGTCCCGAAACATGCAATGCAAATTGTGAAGAGCTTCGAGCCATCATCCAATCATTGGCTTGCTCTTTGGATTTTTTGGAATATTTAAAATATTTCCCACGAATGATATCTTTTTGTTAAACGCACGTGATCGAAAAATTGGCTTTCCCACGCTGGGCTTTGTCGGTGGAGAGTAAGCACTGGCTCTTTTTGGCTAGCTACTAACGGCCATGTGGATGTTCTTTTGAGTTTCGGGAAACCAACGCTGGCAGACTCGTACTCGTAGCATATACCACTGCAACCAATACGCGATTGATGTATCCCTGCCAGCCCTAGAATAGTAGCAAGGAGCTAGATAGCAGCAGCAGCAGACGAAAACAAAGTGAGAGGTAGTCCATAGATTCCAAGGTCAACCAAAATGATGAGGCTCTGTCACGGCCATTTCCTGTTGGTGGCAACGGTACTGTCAGTCTTCTGTGGTAGTGCCGTGTCCCTGTCATTCCAAAGTAATAATGTTGTGGACGAACGCTCGATTCTTCTAGAACTATACAGCGCCACGGGTGGTCCTTCCTGGAACGAGAATCAAGGTTGGGAAGATGCTACCCCCGATGGAACGGATGACTATTGCGAGTGGACAGGCGTCATTTGTACGGGTGAAGCCGATCTGGACACATTTCAGCGGCGACAACTGGAGGAAGACGACGGAGACGATGACTATTACCAAGATGATGGCACTTCTCCTGCTGCTGGCACTACTAGTAGTAGTAGTACGGCTGCTCGTGAGTCGTCGTCGTCGAACAGTAAAGATCCCCATCGCGTCATGGGTCTCGACTTGACGCAAAACTTTTTGCAAGGCAGAACTCCTGCATCGCTGTGGAAACTTCCCCTACTTCAGTACCTGAATGTCAATCACAATGATAAGCTCCAGGTGGACTTTAGCAGTGTCCACGACGCTCCCCAGCTCAGCATTGTCAAGGCACAGTTCACCGCGACTGCCTCGTTGGCCGGATTGGATCACGCTTCCTTGACCCTCAACGTGGTACACCTCTCGGGGTGTCCCCTCCGCAGTTCATTCCCCGCCGAGTTGTTGGCATTGACCAATCTACGCGATTTGCAACTCTCTGGTTGTCAACTAGAAGGAAAACTAGATGGCATTCAAAAGTTGACCAATCTGCGCAATCTCAACCTATTTGACAATCAGTTGCGAGGGCCATTGCCCAATGAAATGATTCAAATGACACGATTGCAAAAGTTTAGTTGCAGTCGCAATCAACTCACGGGAGACTTGCACGTGGTCGATGCCTTGGTGGATTTGGACGAATTGTACCTGGCAGAGAATCAGTTCCAGGGACGGCTACCCTCGCTGTCGGCCATGCCGCGATTGTCACGAGTCTTTTTGAATATGAACCAGCTCACGGGGCCCGTTCCTCCGCAATTTCTCTTGGGTATTACTACTTGGGAACCCAACTTTGCCGAAACGGCCGGATGGATTCGGGTCGATATCTCCAAGAATCAGTTGACAGGGATCCTTCCGGAGAGTTTGGATATATTGCAAGATTTGTCCATGGACTTTAATTGGCAAGACAATCGATGGGTGAACGTTTCCGAAGCTCTTTGTGACAATGAGTACTGGAACCGTGGAGCTGTCATGAACTTTGCCTGCGATGGGTTGGCATGCCCCCCAGGAACCTACAGTGTCATTGGACATGCCAGCAATAGCTACGCGTGTCGTACTTGTGATGCTGCCGAGTTTTACGGAGTGTCGACGTGTGTTCAAGAAAATGACAAGGCTGCCTTGATTGCACTCTACAGTGAAACCAACGGAAACAACTGGATCAATAATACAGGATGGAAACTAGCCCATGACTGGCAGGGACTGTACGATACCGGTGACATTTGCGAATGGTACGGAGTTACTTGCTTTCAACCAGGAGATACCGATGACGACAGTGCGGGAGGTAGAGTTCGGAGGATTGACTTGTCGGGGAATAACTTGGTTGGAGTAGTCCCTGAAGACCTATTTACAATGGACTATTTGGATACCCTCGAGCTTTCAGGGAATCCCGAGTTAGTTGTCCCACTCACCAAGATGGATGAATCGAGTGAACTTCGATACCTCGATATCAGTCGAACTGCCACGGTCAACTTTGATGGACTCGAGATGGCGTCCGATTGGTTTGCCTACTTGATTGCCGATGGTCTGACTTTGGGAGGGACCTTGCCGAAACAAGTTTTGAACCTGACCGCTCTCAAGCTTCTTTCCATGTCCGAATGCCAGTTGATTGGCACCGTGCCTGAGAAGTTGGCCAATTTAAAACAGCTCAACGAATTGTACCTGTTTGACAACCACCTTCGCGGTTCCATTCCCGATGCTATTGGGGA